CTTGTGCGTCGGTGAAGTCCGGCTGTAGTCCTGTTCTTGCGTTCAGGTCCCCGCAGATGAGCACGTTTCCCTGGGCCTGGAAGTGGCTTGTCTCTTCTTCTAATGTGGAGAACATGTCTTCGCTCTAGTAGGGGGACTCTGATGGCGGGATGTATATTGCAAACAGGAATATATCTTTTCTGGATGGGAGCAGTTCCTTGTGGATTTTAAGCCAGGTGTAGTATTTGCCTTGCTTTACTGTGTTGATGTGGTTGTGGAATTGTGATTTGTACCAGATGATTTGTCCTCCTGAGTCTCTTCCCTGTCGGACTGTGTTGAGTTTTTGTGATGGTAGGATGATTTCTCTGTAGTTGGGTGGGCAGCGGGTGATGGTGTCTGCCCTGCTCCATGTCTCCTGTAGAATTATAATATCCATCTCTTTGATGCTCTTCTGGAATTCTGTGTTTGAACTCTTTAGTCCAAAGGCTGTTGAATTGTTTTTAATTATATTTCTGAGAGTATATTTCAGCGATGATGCATAATCAGATAAAACGATACTGCTATATTTACAGTTAGATATATAATCAATCAGGCCCTTTGAAATTAGAAAACAGTCTATTCTGGAATAAGTATGAAAAGATGAAGAGCAGCAAGAAAATTCTTTCTTTGTTGGATTTTGAAACCTCCAGATATCAGTTAAATTAAGATCCTTTATGTATTGATTAATTATATTCCTACTCTGTGAGCGTGAAGCATCAATACCTGTGGAATGGTCCAAATTAGGATCTAAGGTACAATTAAAATCACCCCCAACCATTAATTTACCCTTAAGAGAGGACAAAATTAAGAAGAGATTATGAAAAAATGTTGATTCATCTGTTTTTGGACCGTAAACATTCACAAGATTACAATATTCATTGAGCATCCTACCAGTAATGATAACATATCTACTGGATGGGTCAAGATTAATTTTTAATACATTAAATGATACTTATTTATGTATCAGCAAAGCTACCCCTCTTGAATGTGAACCATATGATGCTGCTATAACCTGGCCTGGCCATCTTCTACGTAGTTTAATGACTTCGTCTGGCAGTATATGTGTTTCTTGCAGGAACAATATTTTAGAATGGAGATAGTTAACCCTATTCATCACTTGTTTCAATTTAATTCGATTGCAAAGCCCCCGAACATTCCACGATGTTAGTGTAAAACTAGAATCTATTGTCATTTGCAACAAAATTAAAATAATCTACAAATTTTGACTAGGTCAAAAATTATAGCGACCTGATCCACTGAAAACCCTGTACCAAGTTTGGGTTCCTTTGTGGATTATGAAATCCAAAATTACCAACCTTACCGGCTTACATGGCAGTAAGTTTAAGAGTACTTTGAAAACCTAAAGAGCCGAATAACTTTAGCATCCACAGACTACTCCGTGATGTGGTGCTCTGCTTCCCCAGCATCCTTTTGCAAGCCCGCGATGAATTTGTTTGCCTCTTCGGGGGGAGTTGAAGAAATGACGACGGTCTCCGTAGATGACCAGAAGCTTGGCGGGGAAAATCATCCCGTACTTAATCTTCCTCCTCCGAAGTTCTCATTTCACTTTGTCAAATCGCCTTCGTTGTTTCAACACCTCAGGCGATAGATCCGGAAAAAACATAATGTGGTGATTCTGGAACATCACTGTACCTCTTTCCCGAGAATGTGTTTCTTGCAGGAACAATATTTTAGAATGGAGATAGTTAACCCTATTCATCACTTGTTTCAATTTAATTCGATTGCAAAGCCCCCGAACATTCCACGATGTTAGTGTAAAACTAGAATCTATTGTCATTTGCAACAAAATTAAAATAATCTACAAATTTTGACTAGGTCAAAAATTATAGCGACCTGATCCACTGAAAACCCTGTACCAAGTTTGGGTTCCTTTGTGGATTATGAAATCCAAAATTACCAACCTTACCGGCTTACATGGCAGTAAGTTTAAGAGTACTTTGAAAACCTAAAGAGCCGAATAACTTTAGCATCCACAGACTACTCCGTGATGTGGTGCTCTGCTTCCCCAGCATCCTTTTGCAAGCCCGCGATGAATTTGTTTGCCTCTTCGGGGGGAGTTGAAGAAATGACGACGGTCTCCGTAGATGACCAGAAGCTTGGCGGGGAAAATCATCCCGTACTTAATCTTCCTCCTCCGAAGTTCTCGTTTCACGTTGTCAAATCGCCTTCGTTGTTTCAACACCTTATGAAAAAACATAATGTGGTGGTTCTGGAACATAATTTGTACATCTTTCCTGAGCTGCTCTCAGCACTCTGACTTTGTCAGCATAGTTAGGAAATTTCAGTATCATTTCAGTATTCAGTATCATCATTGGAAACCCTTCCTTGAAGGCCGCTAATGTCGTCTTCGGCCTGGCCGATTCGGCTCTCAGCTTCAGTAAGTCTTTCAGCAAAGGAAGAGAAATCCTCTCTAACTTCTTTCACTGCTGCCAGAACCTCCTTGTATTGAGACAAAAACTCCCTCTTCAGACTGTATATAGCCGAGAGAATTACGCTGTTATCGGGTTGAGTTTCAGCCTCGGAGTTAGCAATGGCGCCAACTTGTGCGGTATCTGCTTCAGGCGTGGATCCTAGGTCATCCACAGCCGAATCCATATTATCTTTTTTTTTTAATCTCTTTTCCTTTGCGGTCGTGAAGACATGCTTAATGTTTTGCGGAGCATATATCAAACAAGAAAACAAAGGTTTTGGTTATCGGGGCTTGGCGATTATGGGATTTAACAGAGATCGTTGAAAAGCGCGGCCGTTCAGCAACCTGACATAACCGGAAGTCCCTAATGTGCATTTTCAGTATGTAAATAACATTTGGAAACTATTTTATGCAATAAATAAATACTGATACAAAAG